TGGCCGCGCGGCCAGCGGCTCGGCGCCGCCGTGCTCGGGCGGCTCCCAGGCGTCGGCGTCGTCGTTGTAGCGCAGGCGCAGCACCGTGGGCCGGCCGGCGTCGGGCACGAAGGAGTCGGCCACCAGCAGGCGCCGGCGCAGCTCGGCGATGAGCGCCGCCTGCAGCGCCTCCAGCTCGCGCCGCTCCGCGTCGTGCGCCTCGCGCAGCTCCACCGCCTCCTCGCGCAGCGCCGCGTACTTCGCCAGGCAGCGCTTCAGCCTGCGCACGCGCCGCCGTCAGCGAAGGCCCGGAGCCCCGGCCGCCCCGCCCGCCCCGCCCGCCCTCTCACCTCTGCGTCTTGTGGTCCACCTCCTGCTGCAGCGTGGCGAACGTGTTGGTCACGATGGCCGTGGTCTCCTCCTCGACCTCGATCTTCTGCTGCATCTCGACCTCGCGCTTCTTGCGCTCGGCGATCTCGTGGTGCCGCCGCTCCAGCTCCAGCTGGCTCCGGTTGAGGTTGTTGATGAGCTCCTTGCCGCCGCCCGCGCCGCCCTGCACCAGGCGCTCCTCCAGCTTGCGGATCTGCCCCTCCAGCTCCTCCGTCTGCCGCCGCTCCGCCTCGATGCTGGACTCGGCGATCAGGTGCTCGCTCTCGAGGCTCGACGCGTCCGCGCTGTCGTCCGACGCGGCTGCGAACGGCGGTCGTCGAATCGCAAACAAATGTACGAGGAGATCGACACTCTCTTGTGGAACTATACACGCACAAGGTGGAGCGGAATACCTACAATGTTAAAACCCTTACACAGATAACCTACAAGTGACCTCCTATGCGCAATTCAAAAACAAAGTTAAGTGCAAGTTGATTAACCGAGTTCAGATTAGCCTTGCACTACGTGCGCCGAATGCTGCACGAACGCGAGCGGGAACTCACAGTTGTCGCCGAGCGGCGCCGGGCGACCCCTCTGCGGCCGCTCCCTGCGGGGCCTCGGCGGCTTCTCGCAGGCCGCGGCCTTCCGCCGCTGGATGAGCGCGCGCAGGCGCTCGATCTCGGCCTGGTACTCGCGCAGCTTCGCGTCCTTCGGGTCCTCGTTGCGCACCGGCTTGTTCTTTATCGCTGCAACCGAACGAGTTCGTTTCACGTTTTCGAACCTTACTGCGAACTCCGCACAATCGACTCACTCGTAGTAAAGCGGGTCGCGCGAATCGCGGTGGGCGAGTCATCTCAAACTACTTAGAATACCTACAACTAGGTACGTGTAGCGTGTACTGACCCTTGGCGCGGTGCGCGTAGCGCAGTGTGGTGATTGTTTCGTCGTAGTTGTACGAGGCGGGACCGATGTTGGCGATCATGATGGTCTTGCTGTTGCCGCCTAGCGAGTCCTGCAAGATGCGCGTGAGCTTCGAGTCTCTGCAATGCGGAAATATCACCCTTTAGTCGACAACGAGCATCATAAACCGAAAAAGGATTAAGCCGAGTCTCGCCCGAGTGAAACACGCGGTCCGGGAGACTTGGACGGGTGGGTACCTGTAAGGCACGTGCGGGCTGTTCTCGGCGAGCGCGGAAATGACGTTCCCCAGCGAGGACAACGCCTGGTTGATGCGCGCCGCTTCGCGCAGTCGCTCGCCGCCCGCGCCCGTCTTGCGCTGCCGCTCGCTGCCCGCCAGGTCCACCAGATTCAGCTTGCCCACGCTGCAAGCGCACAATGCTTTCACTCGCGGCACTCCTGCACTCTTCTGGTTTACAGTTATTACAGTGAGCCAAAACAAGTAAATTCAATGTTCAAACTAAACACTTTCGGGTCTTTTCGGCAACGTGTGTCAATTGATTCATACGACAGTCGCATTGACGCGTTCCTTGTGTAGGTATGGTCTGAATCATTACACAAAGGATAGGATATAATGATTCATTGATTTTTTTTATCTACGCGCGTAGCCTGGCTAGATTATGATCAATGTTTAGACAGAAAGCGTCCAGAGAGTACCTATTATTGAATCGTGCCGCGAGCGCGAAGCCCCGCGGCGTTCTCAGGTCTCCTCTGCCGCCGTTCAATCAACGCGATGACTCTAAAGTAAACGATTCCTTCCTGCTCACTGTTGCCAAACTATGAACCGACATTCACAAACTATAAGCCCGTACTACAAATCACTTTTTACCGTCGTTGCGGTAGTCTCTCCCGCTCCCTGGACGCTACGCTTTGAGCCAGCGTGGTGGACTATTGCCTAACTACCCTCTCTCCTATAATACGTTGACGATGTTGTCAAGTTGCCATTAGGTACATTGTGAAAGTAGACAATGGCAATTCTGAATTCCAATAACATAATAATTGTATGAAAACTGTTTAGGCATTTAGGTTTTAGCAGTAAGTATGTCACGCGCGTCGATTCCTTAGAGGATGGAAAGTTGATTCGTATACGTGTAATTGTCAAAATATTGCACCGTCCGCGTCTCACCTATCGCTAGTCTATCTAAGGAATAAGTTAGCTATACGTAGCCTTTGTTACTATATTTGTGTGATAAGGCACGTGCGAGAAATAAATCAGGTCACTGACTAAACAATCACCTTTAATAGGACTGCTAGTTCGTTTTATATGTTGCGTGTTCGCGTTTTGACTCAACTTGTTTATTCCTTATTAGTTACCAACTAGTCACACACCACCTTATCTTAAGGAGCGATTTCAATTCGTCCATCAATACAGCCCCCGACTTCTGCGCTCATCTTTAACTCTCCAACTTAAGATGCCATTGCATATCTACCTCCCAGTATTACGACAAGTCCTTTACTGTTCAGGCTATTCGTTTGTGGAACGCTTTACCTTTATATTATTTAACAAGCGAAATCATTGAATGTATTCAAAAGTATGGTAAAAGAACACTACCCAACTTTAGTGTGACTTGAACTGCTTAGGTATTTTCATGTTTTGAAATTATGTTTTAGAAATTTTATATTTATAGATGTAAGAATACATAGTACTTTACGATATTCATATATATGTATTGGTTTTATTATTTATAAATAAGCGTATATTTGCATTTATTTATTGATTTTTATCTATTGATTAGTAATTCTTCATACACCGCCGTCTTTTTCCTGTGAATTATATAATTACTTCCATCCAAAGGTTGTCTGGCAGAAATAGCTTAAAGCGATAAGACCGTCCATTGTATCACCGCTTATTTTTTAAATTTAATTGTATTTGTTTCCTTTTTTGGTGTACAATAAAGAATTTTTGTATTGTATTGTACCAGTGAGGCGGTCGGACTGGCTGAATTCTGGACCATAATAGTATAGTGTATGTCATCGACATGATAAGAAGTCCAAACTTTTAACATTTACTTATAAGTTTTAAATAGAAAACTTTGACTTATTAACTAAACTAGGTCACTCACGTATTTAAGTCAAATTTTTTGCTCGACGTGTTTTAAACTCGCTGTGGTCCTTATTCATGAGATTCCGCGACGGTGACGACGGAAACTACGCGCCAAAGCCCTGGCAGCCCGATCACTCAGTACCGCTGCAACTACCCTCGTTTGCTTCATTCAAAAGCAACCACTTGTATGATTGACGCAGGATAAATTTAATATCTTTTGACAAAATTACTATTGTTTGACTAATTAAATAAATTGTGGCTAATAGATGCGTGGCAGGCGCTAAGTTTTTGTGACGGAATAGACATATAACAAGACAACAAATAAATCTGCTCATCTAGTAATTGTGGAAGATAGATATTTCATATCATAAATGTGAAATATGATTGACCAATGATAATATCATTGTAACTAATTTTAACAACAGATAACAGACGTTTATTGTCTTGCTTCAAACATTCACAACAATACAACACTATAAATGGAATAAAATAATAAAAAAACAAAAATAAATTAAAATAAACAGTCGGAATAAAACAAACAACGTTGTCGACGATTGTGGTTGAATGCGTGACACACGCATAGACAACCACAAATTACACCCAAACTCACGAGAGAAATAAATGTAGGTCATACAAATATTTCTCACGGCCCGGGAATCGAACCTGGAACTCTACGGGCTGTCCGGCATGGTGCCCGTTCGGCCATGGAGGCAGTTATCATTCGTGTTACTGCAATCTCATTCGTGTGACTGTGTGAATTGAAATTCACCCTTGTGAGTCCCGTAGCAAACTATGTTGGTGCTTTTGTAACTAATGAATAAAGAATAAAAACAGGTCACAGCTTAGTGGGAATTTTGGCCAAAACAAAGCAACAATTTTCAGCTAATACCTTTTATACCTTTTATATACATCTTTTTAACGCGCACACTCATAGCCCCGCACTAGGGAAACCCTGTATCGCGGGTGCATTGGACACACACATATTATGTAGACAACCATAAATTACACCCAAACTCACGAGAGAAATAAATGTAGTACATATGCACACGCCGCGTGCGCATGAAATTGGCGACAGCTTTCTGGTAGTAATCGAGGCATAAGGCACTCCTTAACTTGAGCATTGAGTACAGTTCTGGAAAACGACTCTTAAACCTTAAAGGGTTTGTTTGAGTGTTGCTCTGTCCGTAATATTTATACACACATAATCTTAAATATATAGACTAAATTTTGTTTATACAAGGATTTTATGCAAATTTTAGGACGTGCACACATATTATATATGTCCTAAAATATATATATATATATATAATAAGTGTGTGTATACACACACTCATTATATTATGCCACCAGTTAGGCAACACCATCCCACTGATGCCACAATAAAATGGGTCCACAGGGCATGCAGCGTTATAAGAAAAGCTTTGGAACAATTAGTAGAAGGTAAGAAGGTAAGGGTGCGTTCCCATTATGTCGTGACGACAGATAGTCGTGTAAGTTTAAAGCGCCTCCGTGTATTTCAATGAAGTTGTTCACATATAGTATAACACGATTAACTGTCGTTCACAACTTTTTTGACGTTACGACGACAGACTATCGTGACAATGGGAAGAGCTAGAACGACAGTCGTCTGACGATAAATAAAACGTCACAATAAAAGTGTGACGACAGATAAGGCATTTCACGAAGTGTGGCATGACAGGGCCTCTTCGCCAGGCATAGTAGCGGCTATGCTGGCGGGTGAAGAGTTCCATGAGGCAGTGGTCTCCTTCTGTGAAGCGGTCATGCTCCAGAAGGAGGTCGCCGAGAGACCATTCCCGCTCGGCGGCGCGCACCTTCGCGGCTGCGGCCGATATCGGAGCGGTGACAGACGATCGATATCGTATTTTGCAGATCGACACCTTTAGAGGATTGATTTATTGCTTTGTAAATGTAATTTTGACGTAATTGCAAGCAAATAGTCAAAGAAACGATGAGGGATCTTGGAGGTCCGTATACAGTTTTGTTACAAGTTACTTGTTCATTTGGTGTGTGAAAACGAAAGTACGGCTAACTGGACCAGAGACGCACACGCCTACAACAATATCAATGTAAATTAGCTATAAGGTTAGGTACACTTAATTTTGACGAGCTATCGGGTTTCGTGGTGTCGCCATCTCTGGAGACCAAGGGTCGATCCCTGGCCGTGTCAATGTCCGTTTCAAGAAAAACTAACTTTTCTATTCCCATAACTTGTTCCATTACTTGTGCTTTAGTTACTTACTTTGGCAACAGAGCAACGTATTGCGATGTAGTCTAATGTTATTATGTTATCTAATTCAAATTTGACTTTGTAGGCGGTGTCGACATTTTATTAAGAAACCAGGAATCTCATAAAAGTAGGTGCATGTTATACCCACTCATACCCATAATGCTGTATATTTTGTACTTACTTACAGACAATGCAACGATGCGTATCCAGTACCGTATCGCTATTTCCTTCACTGGCGGTGATACGAATGCGACCTGTGGGCACCCACAGCGCGTGCAGGTGAGCTGCGCGTAATGAGCCGTGCCCGTGAGCAAACGATCGCATGCGCATGCGCGCGTTGACGTTTTAGTGATTTGTTGACGATGCGTTTCAGGCATATAAGTTTGAAGTATATATCAAATATGTAGTTTTTCATGTTTGCCTCAGTTCAGTCCTTCATTCAAAGCTACTTCCGTCCGTAAAACAAATTTGCAATGGGCATACGACGAATGGCGGTGCGCTGTTCTACTTATTACCCACATAAATTTGAATAACACAAGCAACAACAATCAATACGCAAAGAAGCCAAACTAAATAATAAAAAATTACGCTCACCTAAACATCAAATAAGGACATACAACACGACCTCGAGTGTTTTGTAAAAAACAAAACAAATTTTGAAGTACTGTGGGACCACGTGCCGGTCCCACTCGGCCAGCCGGCATGGCGCAGAGGCGCGCACCGCAGCGACATTAACAGGCGACAATTTACGCAAATATAAATATCAGCCGCCTCTGCCGACACCGGCCTTGGCGATGCCGGCGTTTGCCGGTGCTGTGTGACATGTCGGTCGTGCAACAGTTGTAACTCAAGCGGGAAGCGATATAGTTATGTCATTGATTATTATCGCTATTTATGGCTATGTTGCTGAATGCGCCCGCGCCATCCGCCCCGCCCCCGCGCGTGCGTACTATACACGAAAACGGAGGCCTCGTGAATGGCAGTTGGCTCACGAAGGCCATGTCTGAGTAATGGTTTAGATGTTTCGCTAAGAATTAAAACTAATCATTCGTACCCACCTTTGACTTCAGCAG